ACCCTTACCACATACTCAAAGACCACTAACACCACCACCATAAGATAACCCTCATAATTCAATTAAAAATTCGCCTACTCAAGAAATCATACATGATCCTAGATTCACTCAAGTTTATACAAGGAGAAAAAATTAAGTCGAGTTGAAGTAAATTCAAGCATCAGATATAAGTTTTGGAACTGAAATAAGTCCTAAAAACCCTTAACAATCTAATAATGATATACATATTGCAATTCGCAAAGAAATCAGGAAATATAATAAACGTTCTCTTTATCCTATCTTACAGTCTGTGTTACTTAATAAATATTCATGATCCCATAGAAATTTCTTGACAAACTTAAATATTGAGTGTATTTCTAACATTGTATATGAGACATTATCCTTTGAGAGATAGAAAAATACTATAAATGTGGAATGTTGTCACTAGAAAAGAACCGAATGTGAAAATTGGTGGACCTGCTCAAAAGAAAGAAATGTGTGGTTGCAAGTGAGTGTTTACAATAAAATATAAGGTGAATGAGACAATTAAGAGGTATAAAGCAAGACTAGTGATAAAAGATTATACCCAGATCTACAAAATAGACTATGAAGAAATATTTGCACCAGTAAGTAAGAACACAATGCAAGTCTTGCTATCTTAGTTGCCTAATTTGATTGGTAACTATAATAATGCGATATGAAGAATGCTTTCCTGCATGGAGATTTAATTAAAAAAAAAAACTTATGTGTAACTCCCACCAGGATTGCCAAAGGGACATGACCAAATAAACTGTGTAAACTGGTTATGGCATTCTAGGACTCAAGCAATCACATAGAGAACAATTTGGCAAATTTGTGAAAGTAATGATAGGCTTGGGGATATAAGCAAGCACGGAGAGACTAATATCCTGTTCATCAAACATTCAAAGTTAGGGGGAGTTACAATTCTCCTAGTATACGTTGATGATGAAAAAGAAAAATTGATTCTCAAACAATGTCTGATAAAAGAATTCGAAATAAAAAAATTAAGAAAGTTGAAATATTTTCTTGAAACTGAAGTTATCCACTCAAAGTCAGAAATCTTCATTTCCTAATAGAAATGCATTTATGACCTTTTAAGATATACTAATAAGTGAGCATGTAAACTGGCAAGTACTCCTTATTGTTTTCCGTCATAAATTACGATCAATAAGAGAGGATACACCGGTAGAGAAAGAGATATACCGAAGGTTTGTGGGAAGATTAATATATCTGTCTCATCAAGACTAGACATTGTTTATGCAATAAGTGTTATAAGTAGATTCATGCACAACCTAAGAAAGTGAACTTACAAGCAGCCTACCGGTGCTATATTATCTGAAATAGTCACATGAAAAAAGAATCATGCTAAGAAAATAACAGGCTGCTCCTAAAAGTTTATACAGATGTAGACTATACAAGATTAGTGGTAGACAAGAGATCTACCACATGTTACTATACCTTTTATGAGTGTAGCTTGGTACTTGGAGGAGTAAGAAGCAGAATATGGTTACATGAACGAGTAGTGAATTAGAGTTTCAGCAATGGGTCAAGAGGTATATAAACTATTGTGGCTTAAGAGATTATGAAAGATCTAAGAATTAAACGGGACAGCCCAATGCACTTATATTGTAACAAGAATTGGCTATAAGAATTTGCCCATAATTCAAT